CATAGGTAGCATGTTGTACATATATCTGCATTCATGGAGGGATTGTATGTATTGCAGATCTTCAGGAGTTATATAAGGGCTCTTGTATTTATCATAGTTCTTTTGATAGTGTATTGCGTATATGAAGAGTCTTCTACAATGACTTGAAGGAGTTTGCATTTGTTGTATTTCTCACCATCCATTTCTTCATATGTGCTGGTTATTGTCATTTGAGGGAGTCTAGTGTATTTGTTTACACTTGAGTGACATCAGTTGTGTATGAGCCTTGGTGTTCTATCCATGAACACACTAATACACTATTGTAATCAAGTTGTTTCCCCTCGATGTTTGCAAGCATCACTATGCCCATTATATTTATTGTAGGCTTATGACATGAATGACAACATTATCATTATTTCCACTTAACATCAGCATCTGGATTGGCATAATCATTGTGGTCGGATTATATCATTCATTGGGGGCTTATGATGTAAGCAAAAATCTGGGGGACCCTGATTTTTTGCTTAACAAAATAAAGACTCTACTGGGTAATAGAAGAGACACAAATAACATAAATAAAGACAAATAATATCATTTTATAAAAATTATTACAACTTAGACACTTACAAACTTGGACTCCTACGAGGTGGTCACTTGCGGAGAGATGAAAAAGGTTAGAAGCCCGAGAAGAAGGGTGAAAAGAGCTCGCAAGATTTCTGGAGGGGATGAGAAAAGAAGATGGACAAAGCTCGCAAGCTTTTTCAACGAAACTCGCAGATTTATATTTTCAAAAATCAATCACATAACATATCATTACAACTCTAAAACATCTCATATTTATAGGTATGAGAAGGGAATACAAAAGGACACGGCATTGAATTCACACACGAATCCAAGCGACACAAGCAAGGAAATCCTTCCCATGCATTCACGGAAAACAGCCCAGCCCAAGAACTGAAGGATCAACCACGGGAACCAAAGGAGCCGCATGGAACCGAGGCACCAAAGCCACGGGAAAACCCCCCCAAGCTCGAAAAACCAATAGCCACAGTGAGAACTAAGGAGCCTTGCACGGAAAACAGCCATCCGTGGAAGCCAAGGAGCCATGGCATGGGAAAACACATTTTCATGGGATTCCAAAAGCCCTTTTTGAAACCCAAGAGACATCATAAATAAAAACTATAGAAATAACATTTAATAAAAAGATAAATATGAACTAAAATGTTAGCTAATAATGAGCTAACCCTTAGTTCAAAAAGTAAACTAAAGACCAGCTCATAAATGAGCTAAAATTTCAGCTCAATTTTAATTGAGCTAGTAAACTCGAGGGAAGCCAAAATTGATTTATTTTGGACATGAGTTGACCCCCCCTTTGTCGACATCAGCTTCTTTCGTTACATGCTATCCAACTTCTTGGAATAAACTTGTGGATCCACTGACATCGACATTAAGCCACACATTGCTTATGTGTAAGTTGAAGAACCTTTACAACAACATACCTTTAAGAATAGTTCATGGTCTACATGATAATTTTTTCATTGATACTTGCTTGCAATCATTCAAATGCTTCAAATTAATTGGATTCCATTTATGTACACTGAAGATTTATCATCCCTGATTTTCATGTGGTCTTTTGATTCAAGTCGAGTTCAAATCAACTTTGATTTGAGTCTTTTGATCATTTGAATTTTGATTTCAAATGGTCTAAGTCATATCCACTGAGGTCTCAATTAGTTTGAGTCCCAAAATGAGTCTTCAACATCTTTACTTGTGTTCAAATCATTCATTTCATGATTCATTTAAGTTAAGTGAGATTCAAATTCATATTCATACCCACCATGCTTGATTCCAATCAAGTCCAAGCTTGCAAGTTCTTTTGTTTATGTTCAAATCAAGTTGTCTTGCATATGATTCAAGTTTGAGTTCTTTGTCAAGTTCAAACTCTAATCCAAGTTTGAGTTCAAGTTGTCACCTAAAAAAACCCTTTGTAGTTCATATCACATTCAAGTTCAAGTTGAGTTCAGTTCAGCTTGAGTCCAACTCAAGTCTTACACAAGTCCTCCATGTTCATTCAAGTCCACACTAAGTTCTTTGTATTTGAGATCAACTCGCTTGGATTCAGCTTGAATTCTCAATTTAGTTTAATTCATTGTTCATCTAACATTATTTGATTAAGTTTGATTTAGTTTGATGTTGTCTATGATGCACCGACACTTCGTTTTAAGAGGGTATACAAAGTCGCACATGTGTCGGACACGGACACGCGTCCGACACGGCGAGGACATGTGTCGGACACGTCATTAGCGTGTCACATTTAAAAAAAAAGAAAAATTAAATCGAACACGTGTGTATGAGTCTTTGGTACCTGTTGCAAAAGAAAATCAGTTGTTTCCCCGCAAGCGGGTACTTATGGGTATCCCCACTTCGTCGTATGCATCGCACCGGGTTCCCATCCCACCATGATAAGAAAAACGTGTATAGGCGATTTTTCGGTTAGCCATGAACTTCGGATAAAAGATTTTAGGTGATAACCTGCTTCGTCGTAAGCATCGCGACGAACTTCTTTCCACCACGCTAAAAAAAACGTGTATAGGTGGTCGTTTTGTCGCGATACGTGCATCAAAATCAAGCTCTCGGAGTTTTAAGGTTGAGGGGTTATACCTTTGCATGTGAACCGACGACGGCGGTGTTGGTAGCACGAGGATCAAGGCAAGAGAAGAAATTCTTTTTTCTTTTTTTTTTTAAAATAATAACTAATTATAATTAAATAATAATAATAATATCAATAATAATAATGTTAATAATAACCATTATTATTATTAATATTATCATTACTATAATATCTAATAATAATAAAAATAAAACCTCCCTCCCCCATTGCTCTCTTTATTTTGGGAATTTACGGGATTTGGTCGAAATAGCGTGTGAAAGGGAGAGAGTTACCTTCAGAGGAAGCGGCTCCTATTGTTGCTTCTGCTCAAATAGTCTAACTTCCGATCCCAACAGGGAGGGAACGTCATCTGGAGAGGCAAATGGGGTTCATGGCTTTGGCTAAGTAGGGTAAGTGCTTACTCTCTTTCTCTCTCTCTCTTTGAACCAGACAGATCAGACGGAGGTGGAAGAACCATGGCTGAGAAGGACGGATGGGAGGAAGGTGGTCGGGATCGTTTAGGGATTTCGATCGCAAGGTCCGACTGTAGGAGTCGGGCCGGATGGGGCAGATCGAAAGCTGGATGGGCTTAGGGATTTCGAGCAAGATTTTGGTTGCTAGAGGTATGGGTTGGATTTTATTAAGGCTTTGATCGGCTTCAGTCAAGTAAGAGTGAAAGTTGAGTGTGAGGTTTTGATCGGAGGAGGACGGATGAGGCGAGGAAAAGTGTCGTGGGAGAGAGAGCAGAGACGAATGGAGGTCTCTTCGTCTCCTATTTAACGACGAGGCGTAGCGTCGTTTTGAACAACTATCGCAGGATTTGAGCAGATCTTGCGGAGAAGCGACTAGAGCAGCGCCGATCTGTACGAGGTAAGCAGGATTTCCAGGATTCTCGGCAAAACCTCGGCGAAATTTCAGCACAGGTATGTGAAAAAAAATTTTGTTATTTCTTTTTTTTTATCTATATGCATAGGTCAACAACTCAAACATTTTTTGGGCATTAATAAACTTCAAAGCATAATGGTCATGTGTATGGACCAAATGGGTTAAACAATTTGGTTTGGACTTTCTTTGGCCAAAGTTGTATTGTTGATCTTTAGAAATTTAAACCTAAAATACTAAAATAGGATAAAAGAAAGAAACCATGCTTGATACATGTATATGAACCAAATGGGTGAAACAATTTGGTTCGGCCTATTTTTTGGCCAGAGTTATATTGTTGTTCTTTGTAGGTTATAGTGCTAATATGGAATATTTTTAGTGTCTTCTTCTTTGATAGAATTTTATACTTATGTATTGCTCTGTCATGTTTATAGATCATTTCTACATACTATTTTTATACAATCTTAGAATTCAATAAAATGTGTTGATATCTAACAATGCATCACATCAACTATAAAGATTATTATTCTATATAACCATGATATATACAGATATAAGAGGGGTAATATCCATATGCGAATGAAGTCACTGACGAGAGCATTATGAAGCTTTAATTTTAAGTCCCAAAGTAATAGGCATTGAGCATAATTACAACAAGTCTAACAGAGCATATGGCAAATGTAAAATCAATAGGAATTTCCATCATTGAATAGGTAGGAATAGTCTCTAAAATGAGAAAAAAATATCAAGTAAAAAAACTCAAATATTCTAATTATTGAGATTACGGTACCATAATGATGAAAACATTATATAGAAAATCCCAAAAGGAAACACTCATGAATAATAATGATGAAAGTAGTTCTCACAAAGCAAATTCCTGAATAGTTTTATCGATGGTGGGAAAATTTTTAAGCGGATTTGACAATATTTTCAGGCCCCTTAAACATCCATACGAATAATGGGTTGATACTAACCCAAAAATATCAGCAATTCCTCCGAACATAAGCTGATGTCAATTATTTTCCTTTACAAAAATCTTACATATGTGTTAGCATTTGGATGTTGCTATGACATCATTTGGTCGCTTTACAAATAATTACATAAAACATTAATACAACAAAATGCCAAATGCCAAGTGTAATGAGTTCCATTATCCAGTTAAAGATTCAGGACCAGTAGAAATGCACATCGATAATTTGGTCAAAGCTAAACAAGGTTGGCTATAATGGTTAAAAAAGAATAAGATCAGTTTAGTAATTTATGACTAACATAAATGGTGGCAAGCTGTTCATAAGAACTAATGTTCTACATTTTTTCATTATAAGTGTTTCTTTCCAATAGCATAAATAATGAGCTAAGTCAGCAGCGAATAGGAATATCAACTCTTTGATTTTCACTAGTCCAAAGTTAAAATCAAACAAATTGTCAGACAAACAAAACAAAATGTAACAAGTCTCAAGAAACATCATATTTAAAAAAAAATTAGTACCATTGCTAGCATTGACGGTTTCTTTTGCATTTTTCACAGCCAACTCAAGAAGCTTCGGATCTATAGAATTAAGTCCACCAGATTGGTGAAGCTTTCTTTCAAGAAACTTTGCTAATGCTGCAGCTTTGTTTGTTGCAATGGGTCCATTGGGGTGAGCCAACCTATACATAATCAATCAGCCAGAAATGAAATAAACTCTTGATAGTTCTTCATGCCAGCTTTACAACATTACACATCAAATTCTTAGCAGGAAATTTATCAATAACTGACAAAAACAAACAAGTACTATAACATACAAAGTGTACAAAATGGAAGAAAAATAAATAACACATCTTTTGGATTATGCTACGATGGCTTAAGGGACGAGGATATTATAATTGTAGTACAACAATTTGAGAAACAAAAACGCAAGCAAGCATGAACACACACATTTGGCTAGATAAGCTAAATCATTCATATTTTCTCTAACTTCAAAATGGAGAAGAGAAGTATGGAAACTTCAAAGCTCAGCATACTTGAATCAACTTTGATAAACTCTTTGTTTTAGAGTAGAATACGACAAATATGAAATTATGAAATCTGCAAAATTGTAATCATGTAATCCAGATGGTTGACTCGAGAATGGATCCACACTCCTTTCTAAAGGAGAATGTTAAAATACTTTGACCAATCAAATTTATCCATGGTGATACTGTTGGAGAATTTTTGTTGTCCTCAAACTGATTGCATACTTTATGACTGAGTACGGTATAAGAATGATGATATATTACCCCGAAGGATAAAAATATCATTTCCTTATGGACTCAATGATAAAATTTACAATTTTAATAGAGATTCCCCCATTTGATATTTTGGCCAAATAGGGTTTACTTATTTATGGGGTATAAACGGCCCATAGGGGCAAGCCCTTATGGTTAATTACATCTAAAGCTTTGGTGCTTGAAAAAACTTTTGATTAAACCACTGGTTTTCTTTTCTTTTTGAAGTCATTTAAACATTAGCTAAAATTTGATTTTTGAAAATCCGTGAATTTCTTATTTAAAGGTTTTCGACCTTTAGGAATTTCAAGAAAAAAATGATCAACTTAAGATTAAAATTTGAAATGAGGGCCAAGTAGGTGAAATATGAGCACTTTATTCTGAGAAATCTCAGAGGTGCTCGGACTATCCTATGTTGGGGCTTTATATTTTTAGAAATCTAATTTTGTTTGAGTTGATCATATTCATTAGAAGATCGGGGCTTATATTCCAACAATGCATTTTAAAGGAATTTCCTGGAAGGTGAGGACTTATATGGTGATTGGAATCAACCATTTGCCTCAGATCCTAAAACTAAAGTGAGGACTACCGAGAGATAGTGCCTCGAACCTAAATCTAACGGAATACAAAGGAACTTACAAACTACACCTCACACGAGGCATAGCCTGCCCGACCTCTAGATTTATTACCCTGTCTAGAGAAGACTACCAGCTAAACCCACCTAATCGATTTTAAAACCATGTTGTCCATCCTTAATGCAAATGTAGAGTGAATGACTATTTTTGTTTAATAAGTAGGGCTTACAACTTGGCTTTGAGGCCAAGATGCCTATGTATGAAGGTATGCAGAATGCTGACTCACAAATGTAGACTTTTTGTTATCTAGTCCTTAAATGAAGGCTTTCTATATGCAACACATTTGGGCTATACATGCTCATTTTAAACTTTTGAAAACTTAGCTCCTTGAGAGGAGCCATGCAAAGTTTTCTTATTTGAAAGACATGAAGCCTAGATTGATTTTAAGTTGTTTATAATTTAAGGATTAAAAAATTTATTTTATCCTAAGAACATATTGTATCACAAGTTCAGACCACTCCCAAACCAAACAATAGAAGAAACTTAGGAAAAACATGTTGTTCTATTGCACACCCAGTAAACATTCAAAACATGATTGTAAATTAATCAAAATAGAGGTGCAAGTAATATCCCAATATTACAAACAGTTTTGACAGCTAATTTTGCTTGTCATTATACAACCCAGTTAAGATATTACAGACACTACTTGTGCGGGTCTTCAAGCTTTAACTCTCAAGTAGACCTTTAGGCTTCACCTCCAAAAGAGTACATCCTTCATCAATTCACCTTTTCTTCTAGTCCAAAACCTCACAGGTTTTACATCCTAAATCTATCAAATATATGATAGAAAATGGAAAAGACTCAAGTCTGCAAAATAGAGTTAGAAGGCAGTTTATATGAAAATCACATCACATCCAAAATTTATCTAGCACTTAGAGTGTCAAGCATCTGCTCTGACCTATTGGTCATGCCTCTTGGGGGGGGTTTAAGCAGTACATGCAAGCAAATAATATTAGAATAATCATGATTTACTTTACCCCCTTCTGAACATGGCCACCTGCACAAAAAAGCATGTATATATTTCTATACTAACCACTTAAGGGCAAGTGCCCAAAACGCAGACAATTCAAAAGGGCATTCACACCAAATCATCAATCACATGCGCACACAAAAAAAAATCCTAATCCTAGCATGCCTTTGCACATTTTGACGTTTGGTGTCTAAAGAAGAGGTTCATTCCTCCAATTTGAATTGGAGGAATGGAGGAGAAGAAGATGCAACTTGGAAGTTGCAAACTCTTGAAAGTTTCTTGAACATTTGATATTCAAAGAAGGATGCACACTCTCCTAATTTAGGTTAGAAGAATGAGAAGATCTTCCTACAACCTTTGAGTTATAGAAAGGGATGAAGGGATACACAACCTATAGGTTGCATACGAGAGGGGAAATCATTGAACCATGTGTTCAATGATGCATAATCATTTATCAAATGCATGTTAGGTAAATGAGAAGAAGAGATGTACAACTTGGAAGTTGCAAGCTCATAAAAGTTCTTCGAAAATTTGGTGTTCAAATAGGGATATACATTTTCCTAATTTTGAGTCTTAGGAGAATGAGATGGTTTCCTACAACTTTTGGGTTGTAGAAAGGGAGGATGGTGTGCAATTTATGGGTTGCAATTTAGAGGAATTTCTTTGAACATTTGATGTTCAAAGAAAGGGGCACACATTCACTCGATTTAGGCTAAGTGAATGGAGAGATTTCCTACACTTTTTGTTTGGTAGAAGAAGAAGAGAATGTGCAATTTAGATGTTGCAACTCATAGAAATCATTTGAACATTTAGTGCTTTTGGGCTGTTTTTAGACAGAATTTGGACAGCTTTGTGGGGACTGGTTTGGTGGCTGTTTGGGAGGATTTCCATGAGCCTTTCCATTGTTTTCTATGCAATCTTCCTACAAAATTCCTGCAGTCTTTTGGTCTTCTTCTTAGTGACTTATGGCCTTCTATTTCCCTATTTTAATGGCTTTAAATATTGCTTTTAGGTGGCTATTTGTATTCCTTCTTTAGTGCCTATAAATAGAGTTGTTTTGTGGTTGTTTTAGTTATGTGATGTGATTGATTTTTGGAAATGTAAACCTGCGGGTTTCGTTGGAAAAGCTTGCGTGCTTTGTCCACTCCTCATCCCCTCTGGAAATCTTGCGAGCTCTTTCCAACCTTCGTCTTGGCTTCTAATCTCTTTCTTCTCTCCGCAAGTGCCACTCCACCTGTATCCCTCTTCTCAAAGTAAGCATGTTTAGGGTGTAATTTTGTTTGAGTCATTTGTAAGAGTCAAGGGTTGTAATGTCATGTTATGTTGAAAGTCAAGTTTGTAAGAGTCTTTATTTATAAAAGTGTTCGTTTATATGAAATGTAAGAGTTTGTTCTATTATCTCTAAGTTATCTCTTTTTTTTTTAGGTATTTTGTGTCTTCTTTTGTGTAGGAAGTCTTTTTTCTTATTGTGATCAAAAAATATGGGGTCCCCCTTATTTTTTGATCGCATCATTTGGTATCAGAGCAAGTTAGGAAGTCCTAGGTTATAAGTTTTGTTTTAGTTTGTCAAGTCAAGTCTTGTCGTGAGTCTTAAGTGTCTAGTGAGTCTTATGAGTCGTGTGTCATGTTAGTAAGTTTTGTTTTGAGTCTTGTTGTCATTTGAGTTTTTGTGTCAAGTGAGCAATCTCAAGCCTTGGTGTCTCTTGATGCAACGCCTTCAGAACAAAGCTAACTCATCGGGAGATGAGTTCGTAAGAAGGGGAGTCTGATGTAGGCAAAGGGGGGGTCAAAACAAGTTAGATTTTATTTTGGTGAATTTTCGGTCCTCTACTAGATTCAGCTCATTAATGTCTAGTAGAGAACCTTTTCTACCTCATAATTTGATATTTATTCCCCCATGTGTTGTCCCTTTGGTTCCCGTGGATGGCTCCTTGGTTCCCGTGGCTTGACCCTTTGGTTCCCGTGAATGGCTGTTGGGTTCCCGCGCCTTGGCTCTTACTTCCCTGCGGCTGGCTCTTGTTTCCTGTGTTGTTTTCAGGTCCCTAGCTACGCTGTTTTCCCGAAGCAGCCAGGGGGTTCTTCCCGTGGATTTAATGCCCTGTTTCCTGTGCAATGTTGGGCTCCTATTTGAAGATTTTTTGGCTGCTGTTTGAAGGGCTTTTGGGCTGTTTTTGGACAAAATTTGAACAGCTTTTTCAGGACTGGTTTGGTGGCTGTTTGGGAGGGTTTCCATGAGCCTTTCCACTGTTTTCTATGCAATCTTCCTACAGAATTCCCGTAGTCTTTTGGTCTTCTTCTTAGTGACTTATGTCCTTCTATTTCTCTATTTTAATGGCTTTAAATATTGCTTTTAGGTGGTTGTTTATATTCCTTCTTTGGTGCCTATAATAGAGTTGTTTTGTGGTTGTTTTAGTTATGTGATGTGATTTATTTTTGGAAATGTAAACCTGCGGGTTTCGTTGGAAAAGCTTGCGAGCTTTGTCCACTCCTTCTCATCCCCTCAAGAAATCTTGCAAGCTCTTTCCAACCTTCGTCTTGGCTTCTGATCTCTTTCATCTCTCCGCAAGTGCCACTCCACCTGTATCCCTCTTCTCAAAGTAAGAATGTTTAGGGTGTCATTTTGTTTGAGTCATTTGTAAGAGTCAAGGGTTGTAATGTCATGTTATGTTGAAAGTTAAGTTTGTAAGAGTCTTTATTTATAAAAGTGTTCGTTTATATGAAATGTAAGAGTTTGTTCTATTATCTCTAAGTTATCTCTTCTTTTTGAGGTATTTTGTGTCTTCTTTTGTGTAGGAAGT